TTATAGTATGTTTATAAACAAGCATTACATATTTTTCTTAATCTATTTTGATTTGTATATTTGTTTAAAAGTGTTTGCTTGCAGGTTTAAAAAAGAATTGTTAATTGATGCATGTCCCTTTAACATCTATATTTTTACTATTAAAATATTCTTTTAAGTAATAGAGTGATCACAGCAATATTTTAATTTAGGAAAACAGAACGGTAAATAGAGTTTAATCACCCTATTGAATGCAATTCTTTTATTTATTTATTTAAATTTATTTATTTTTTTCATTCTCATTTGAATTTTATTGTTTTTATTGGAATGGAATTCTTGAGGCAGCAATAACAAGAAAATAGCAAAAAAGTTTAAAAATGTGGAAGTTTCAGCAAAGGAAATAACTGCAGTTTTAGATTACTGGCTCAGAACAGGAAAAGGGTCATTGTTAAAAAGTAGAAGTTGAAATAGTGTGGAAAGTTTGCTTAATTAGTATTTTGTATGAGGTAACAAATCTAAAAAGGTCCTTGCAATATAGAAAATGTAAGAGGAGTTCTCACTTTTCAAACCCTCACCTTCCTGCTTCATAGATCTATGTGTGTGTGAGCCCTGATATGTCTGTACATATGAGCATATAGCATCTCTCTTTGCAGTTAGCTGACATAGCTGCAGTCCCGTGTAATTTAGTTGCTGTAGGAGATTTACTAAGATGGTGTTGAAACCGGAATACAGTTATACAGCTAATGTAAGGTGGATTTTATTGGTTAGAAAACATATATATATATACAGGGCTGCCATCAGAAATGTTGGGGCCCCTGACACAGCTCAAGGTCTGGGCCCCCCGGTGCTTGCACCCGAGTCCACCCAAAGTGCTGTTCCCACCATATGATCTGCCATGTTAACTAACACCAGTGCTGCAGTGCCGCCGTGTTTACATTAAAAGGCCTGCAGGGACAGGCTAGACACCAGAACCACTACATTAAGCTGCAGTGGTTCTGGGGACTATAGTGTCCCTTTAATGTGAGGTAAATTAGAGATTAGTGCCACGAATAATATACTAGATTGCCTACTTACAACCAGATGAGGATGATGATGGGCTCTAGCTGCCGTCTGGCTCCACTGGTCTGGTGTACAACAGGCTCTCTGGAGGCGGTTTGTAACTGTGGTCACAAAAATCAATGTTCTGGGAGAACGGGAAGCAGCTCCATTTATTTGAGGGCCCTTTACACAGCTCAAGGTCTGGGTCCAGGGTCCACCTTCATGTTCCACCAATGAGTTTGTTCACAGGGAGTGGAGTGTGTGTGGGGGATGTCCTGATGTGTGTAAGGAATGCATTGTGTGAATCTGTGTTTGTATGTGTAAGGGCTGCAAGATGAGTTTGTGTATGTATGGGATGCAGTGTGTGCGTCTGTAAGGGATGCATTGAGTGTGTGTAAGGGGTGCATTGTGTGTTGCTGTGTGTAAGGGATGCATTGCTTGTGTACGTGTGTCTGTGTGTAATGCATTGTGTGTTTTTCTGTGTGCAAGGGGTGCATTGTGTGTGATGGGTGTCAATCTCTCCCCCTCCTCCCTGTCAATTTCCTTCTCCCCCCCTCTCCCTCCAATTTCCTTCTTCTCCCCCTCCCTCCCTCTCTCCAATTTCCTTCTTCCCCCCCTCCAATTTCCTTCTTCTCCCCCTCCCTCTCATTTCCTTCTCCCGCCCTCCAATTTCCTTCCTCTCCCCTCCAATTTCCTTCCTCTCCCCCGTCCCTCAAATTTTCTTCCTCTCCACCCGTCCCTCAAATTTTCTTCCTCTCCCCGTCCCTCAAATTTTCTTCCTCTCCCTCGTCCCTCAAATTTCCTTCCTCTCCCTCCCTCAAATTTCCTTCCTCTCTCCCTGCCTCAAATTTCCTTCCTCTCCCCCCTCCCTCCAATTTAATTCCTCTCCCTCGTCCCTCAAATTTCCTTCCTCTCCCTCCCTCAAATTTCCTTCCTCTCTCCCTGCCTCAAATTTCCTTCCTCTCCCCCCTCCCTCCAATTTAATTCCTTTCCCCCCTCCCCCTCAAATTTCATTTCCTCTCCCCTCAAATTTCATTTCCTCTCCCCCCTCAGATTTCATTCCTCTCCCCCCTCAAATTTCATTTCCTGTCCCCCTCCCCTCAAATTTCATTTCCTGTTCCCCCCTCCCCTCAAATTTCATTTCCTGTTCCCCCCCTCCCTCAAATTTCATTTCTTCCCCTTCCCATTTCATTTCCTCCCCCTCCCATAAATTTCGTTTCTCCCCATTTCATTCCTCCCCCCTCCCATAAATTTCATTTCTTCCCCCCCTCAAATTTCATTTCTTCCCCCTCCCTCAAATTTCATTTCTTCCAGCCCCCCCTCCCTCAAATTTCATTTTCTCCCTCCCATTTCATTTCCCCCCCCCTCCCTCCCATTTAATTCCTCCTCCTCCTCCCCTCCCCTGACACCCGGCCCGGCCAGTGAGCACTCTCTGTGTGCTTCCTCTTCAGCTCCCTCGCGCGCCGCGTACTGATGCCGGAGCCGGAAGATGACGTCATCTTCCGGCTCCGGCATCAGTACGGTGCGCGAGGGAGCTGAAGAGGAAGTACACAGAGAGTGCTCCCTCGCGCGCCGGCCGGGTGTCAGCAGGGCCAGCCTCTGGGGGGCCCTGAGGTGACCGGCTGCTGGGCCCCCCAGGAGAAGAGGCTGGCCCTGTGGGTACATACCGGGGTCGCAGGGCCCCCTGCGACCCGGTATGTACCCACTGAATGTGGGGCCCGGACGACCTGAGCAGTCCGGGCCCCCCAGGACCGCCGGGCCCATGACAACCGTTACGGTTGTCATGCCCTGATGGCGGCCCTGTATGTATATATATATATATTTTTTTTTTTTTTTTTGTAAATGCAGCTACAATTCTTCCATTAAGAATGATTGTATTCAATGATCTCTATAGCTGAGCGTGCATGATGTCATAATGTGTTACGGTATGAGAACTGGGAAGTAAGATTCCCGGTTCATATACCCAGAGGACTTGGTGGCGTGGCTTGAAAAAATGTTTTCAAGCCTTCTATTTCGTGAAAAAAATAGTTTGGGGTCTTTGGAGGGGAGGGGATGGGGGGCGCATTTTCAGGCTGTACGGCAGGAGGGAAGCGCACTGGTCTTGAAGCCCAGCCTCTTACCGCCCGCCCAGCTTACTGCCGCCTTAAGAGCCGGAAGCTCTGTGGAGGGGGTGGGCATATGAATTGCATCATATCCCTGCTCCCTGTGTACCACACAGCGTGGCTGGCACCCAGTGATGGGGCTGGGCTGCAAGACAGGACTCCACAGAGCCAGACAGCATGCACCCCAGGTACCCCCCAGGTACCAGCCTCTTACCGCCCGCCCAGCTTACTGCCGCCTTAAGAGCCGCAAGCTGTGTGGAGGGGGCGGGCATATGAATTGCATCATATCCCTGCTCGCTGTGTACCACACAGCGTGGCTGGCACCCAGTGATGGGGCTGGGCTGCAAGACAGGACTCCACAGAGCCGGACAGCATGCACCCCAGATACCAGCCTCTTACCGCCCGCCCAGCTTACTGCCGCCTTAAGAGCCGCAAGCTGTGTGGAGGGGGCGGGCATATGAATTGCATCATATCCCTGCTCGCTGTGTACCACACAGCGTGGCTGGCACCCAGTGATGGGGCTGGGCTGCAAGACAGGACTCCACAGAGCCGGACAGCATGCACCCCAGATACCAGCCTCTTACCGCCCGCCCAGCTTACTGCCGCCTTAAGAGCCGCAAGCTGTGTGGAGGGGGCGGGCATATGAATTGCATCATATCCCTGCTCGCTGTGTACCACACGGCGTGGCTGGCACCCAGTGATGGGGCTGGGCTGCAAGACAGGACTCCACAAAGCCGTACAGCATGCACCCCAGGTACCTGTCTGTACAGTAGGTATGTAATTGTGACTGTCTTTGTATGTATGTATGTCTCTGTATGTATGTATGAATGTCTCTGTGTGCATGTATTTCTCTGTGTGCATGTATGTCTCTGTGTGCATTTATGACTCTGTATGCCTGTATGTATGTCTCTGTATGCTTGTATGTATGTCTCTGTATGCATGTATGTCTCTGTATGCCTGTATGTCTCAGTATGGTTGTTTCTGTATGTATATATGTATGTCTCTATATGTATGTATGTATCTGTCTGTATGCCTGTATGTCTCTGTATGTATGTGTATGTATGTATATATGTGTCTGTATGTATGTATGTATGTCTCTGTATGTATATATGTATGTCTTTGTGTGCATGTATGTCTCTGTGTGCATGTATGTCTGTGCATGTCTGTATTTAGGTAAGTCTCTGTGTGCATGTCTGACTCTGTATGCCTGTATGTATGTCTCTGTATGCATGTATATCTCTGTATGCCTGTATGTATGTATGTATGTCTCTGTATGCCTGTAAGTATGTATGTATGTATGTATGTATGTTTCTGTATGCCTGTGTGTCTCTGTATGTATGTATGTATGTATGTATGTATCTATCTATCTATCTATCTATCTATCTATCTATCTATCTATCTGTCTGTATACCTGTATGTGTCTATATGGATGTATGTGTCTGTATGTATGTAAATATGTTTGTGTCTGTATGTATGACTCTGTATGTATGTATGTGTCTGTATGCCTGTATGCCTGTATGTCTCTGTATGCCTGTATGTCTTTGTATGTATGTATGTATGTCTCTGTATGTGTGTATGTCTTTGTCTGTATATCTCCATGTAACTGTGTTGGTATGTCTCTGTGTGACTGTGCCTGTATGTCTCTGTGTGACTGTCTCTGTATCTTTGTATGTCTCTGCCTGTGTGTCTATATGTATCTGCCTGTATGTCTCTTTGTCTGCATGTCAAAATGCATCTTCTCCTGTGTAGCTAAAAATCTTTGCACTGGCCCTGACAGTACCCCAAATCACAGTTTTGCTCACCCTTTAACAAACAAATATTTAGACATCATAAATATGAATACTCTTTTATTTTGTAGTGCAATACACATTCACATTCATTAAACAAAAATGTCAAACTAAACATATAAATATCATAAGTTATTGTTTGCATAGTGATGCATTTAAATAATTTTAAATATTATTTACAATTAGCAGTGTATAAATATATCCTGTATAAAACATACAAAGGCAAAAGGTAAAATAAATGAATCAATGCTCATTTTCAACCGTAGGAAGAAAGCAATCACAATCGGTGCTACTTGTATAATCTCTCACAGAGAAACATAACCCCTTAAGGACACATGGCATGTGTGACATGTCATGATTCCCTTTTATTCCAGAAGTTTGGTCCTTAAGGGGTTAAACTTTATAAAAGTTAAAACATAAAAACTAAATGCTGTTTACTTTGTCTGGTATATATGTAGAGCTATATTATTTTGGATATGGACATTGTGTGAAGATCTATTTTTGTTTAGAACTGATAATGCATTTTTGTTACCCACAATGCATTGCAAGCAATCCCAGAATGCATTACATACCGGTTCTATAGAGCTATGCATTTCATTGGAATATGACCAGCACAATGTGCGTATAACATATTATTACTATACCAGATGCTTATAGTTAACAGCATTCTGCTTTGTACTTAGTACATACATGCAGGATACTGGGTTGTATAACAGATTATGCTATACATATATAACTATATATATATATATATACATATATATATATATATATACACCCACACATTCTAGGAAAGGACTAAGAATTCTCTGATATATCTTTGATCAGCTTCAGCCTTTATCTGGACCAATTCGTTTTCAGCTTGAGAAGTGCTAATATACCAGCCGGGGCAAGCCGCAGACTCAAAGGTGAATCTAGACCCAAATGCAGACTTCTGGAAAATAAATCTTAACAAGTCCTCATTTTTCACTTCTTTAATGTTATTGACCTCCTGAGTAAAAAATAAGAAAGGTTGGAATTATTATTGTGCACTTGTCCTCATTCATATTTGTAGTCTACGAAAGAAATTGAAAATATATATATATATATATATATATATATATATATATATATATATATATATATGTACACATACTTGAGACTTGAGAAAACTCCCAAACATCGACACATTTTCTGGTGTATGATTGCAAAATAAAGCTTCAAAATGTAGCTACAAAGTCCTGTGAGTGCACCTTGCTTAATATTTATATTTTGGCACCCAGGCAAGGACAAGACTGGTAGAATGCTGGATTCACATGCATTATATATATGTATATATAAAATGAAAAAACTAATTTATTTACTAGCGAGTTGACTACAACATTGCAGAGATAAAATGCTACTTTCTATAACATTTTTGGAGAAACTTTTATAATTATTTAACAATTGGAAAAATATTTGAATATTATTTTTTTTTTAAACGTATTAATACTTGTTTTTGTATATGATATTTTGTAGATGTTTAATACTTTAAAAAATGTTTTAGAAGTTTATCCAATATAATCATATGATTTGAAAAGTTTATCCAAAAATATTAAATTACAGTCTAATTAAGATGCCCGTCAATGCTGGCAAATGCAAATGCTCTTTTGGTTACATTTACTACTTTACTTACTTCCAAATGCAGCTGAGCTTCACCTTCCACAAGGGTGCATGATAGGTAGAGGTTCTTCCCCGCTAGACCCAAAGTAACTGCTTGTTGGTGTGTGCTCAAACTCTGAGTAGCGTAAAAAGACATGGTAATCTTCTCTGTAAAGAAAAGAAAAAAAAAGTTAATATAACAACCCATAATCAATTGCTGCAGAAATTATGATAATAATTATTATTAATAATAATAATAATAATAATAATAAATACTGCATTTAAAGAGGATCTGCATAATCACCAAACAGGTTATTCATTAAACTGAGAATTGGGCAATTTAAGTGATTTTTAATTTACACACAGTAAAATCAATTCTTTAAGTCAGCTGTGTTTCCAGTTCAGCTACTTTGGCCTTAAATATGAAATTCACTTTGGAATCCTGACAGTACTCACTTTTGACAACTGTCTGAGCATCATATGAGACATAATCAGCTACAGTTCCAGATGTTGGCCCCTGGCCTATGGTCTCACACTGAAGGCAGTTTCTGTGTTATGGGATTTCTGTCCAAATGCAGGGTATTGAACAAGTTTTGCTTTTTTATTTCTTTTTAAAGTTTTTTAAATTTTTTCTATTTATTTGCTATAATAAAAAGTCTGATAACTTGTTGGTTCTGGCAGCCATCATTAATTTTATTGGAGTCATAAAAGTGGTGCATCCTCAGAGTTCTATACCCTAGAGCAGAGTTGGAAACCTTCTGCACTCCAGATGTTGTGGACTATATTTCCCATAATGCTCTTACAGCCATAATATTGGCAGGGGAAATGTAATCCACAACATCCGGAGTGCTGAAGGTTGTCTACCCCGGCCCTAGAGATTTACTTGGCATGTAAGGGAACACTACTTTATTTCACTGATGTGGTCTGGGTGCCATATTCCCCCCTGTTTTAACCCTGCGGCTTAAAACATTGCTGTTCTGCCTTAAGAGCATGTATTCTAGCCTAGCAATCTCTGAAACACTGTTACACTGACTTACCTTCTCTCTGGGTGTTTAAACCTTGAAGCGAAACAGCTACAAGTTTGGCGCTCCCAGGGAATTGCTGCAAAGCCATGCTCTTATTATGAGAATCTTTGATATTGCATTCACTTGTTTTAATGTACTTGTACTTGGGGAAGGAAGCGAAAGTGAATTCTGTGTTCTCATATGGAATTTCTTCTAAAAATAAGAACATGCAATCTGTTAGAATTTAATTTTAGATTGAGGAACTTATTTTACTTCCAAAAAATCTACACAAAATCTTCTTTCTGACTGCGTATTCCTATTTTAAATAAAATTCCAGTGTTTTTGTCTATATACTAACTGACATTAGGTCCATTGTATCAACTACATGATTAGTTGTCAAAATTCTCCCGGGTGGGTTAATGTCACTTTGCCAGCTTCCACCTGGCACGGAGCATTCAAATGATCATTACTAATGGGCAATTACTGCTGCCAATAATATTTCAGCTATTTATAACTAACCAATCTAAAATTAGAAAAACAATATTATATTGTATATGTTTATTTCTATTTACAAGCACACAAGATCATATTATATAATTTACATTGTAGCAGTTAAGTAATAGTATCTCAATCTGTTTGTAAAATACAGCACACGCTACACATGTCTAGTTGTGGTACCTGGCAAATAATTCTGGGGACTAGAAAAGAAGCATTTGCCATGGAAACCAATTAAATATTCAATTTGATTGCTCCATTTCTGGCATTTTGTACAAAAATTGTTCTTTATTCATAACCCTCAGTGCTGATAAATTAAATGTAATAAACTCTTCTTAACCGCTTTGCTCCTTACCTTGCACAAAAATGTCATTTAGCAGATTTAGTAAATCTGTGTCTTTGAACCCCGTGTTGCAAATTAACCCTTTTTTCAGTTTTTCAACAGCCACTACGAGTACCACGGTTTTCCTGAAAGAATACCCAGAATCCACCTCTGTGGCCATCTCCAAATGTATTCCAGAACTGCACACACAGGTCCTTCTGTGACAGGAGATGCAGTGGGAATTGTGAACCCCTTTCTGTGAAAAGACAATAGGCCACATTAACTTTGTTTTAAAATAATATTCCAAATACAAGACAGTCAAACACCACATGGCAGATTTAGGGGATTATTCACTAAATAGTAAAAAAAAACAACAACTGAGAAACAGATTGGAAAGTATAAACCAACATTACTGCACTTTTACTATTTTTCCAACCTGGCGATTTTAGTGTCATCTATACAATGTTTAGGGAATACATGGACAGGGAGTGAAATACCTCACACTAATCATTGGGCATAAACATTGTATCAATACTACATTTAAATATAAATATATAAGAGTGTTTTACATTATTTAAATTAAATAGACACTGTGTTTGAATTTACCTTGGCTCCATGGGAAATCACGCCATAAAAATCTCCCTCATATTCACTAAAATAAAGAAAAATGTGTTTAGTTTCTCCTACAAGATACAAAGTTGGAAATACTAATAATACAATAATGATTACATTTTTTTAAATAAATATATAGATATATGTAAAAAAGAGACAATATCTCCTTAGAGCGTACACGTAATTCTGATAAATTAAGCCACGTTACCTGTTATTGTCCATTAGATAGGATTCCATGTCTGGTACTTGTGCCATTGTCATTTCTGTTTAGACATAAAATAAAGAAATCAATGATTTAGCTAACTGAAGGATTTATCCATCTGATGTAGATATGAGACAGCAGGCAGGATGATAAATACCTGATATTGATCTGTCCTGAGACTGAGACCTTGTCGTTTCCCAGATAGATGATATTCTTTGGTATAATCTGCTTCGTCCTCTGCTGCTTTTATAAGACAATGCTAACACGCCCTCTGATTGTGCAAGAAAGGTTTTAACACAGCTTGCTGCAATTGGCACTAGCCATGCATTGCCGGATGTGGGAAACTATTTTTTTCCTAAACAAATTTCTCCATTTACATATGACGTGCTTTGAGATTTTTCTAAATCTTCTAAATTTTCTTTAAAAAAATTCAGGATATGCCTTCAACTGTAGTTTTGTAGTAAAATGTACCTGTAATTTATTAAACTAAAGTGAACTTCTCACCATCATAACTAATTTTTAGTAGTGTTATTTAAATGAATTACACACAGTCCAAAAACCATGCTTGATTATTGACTATGTTAGGATTATTTGAAATTGAAGGAAACCTCCGAGCACCATGACCGCTATAGAACACTTTAGTGGTTTTGGTGCCAGCTGTTCCCTGGTGCATTGTAAGTAGTCAAACTGTTTTAGAATGTTTTGACTTCCTACCTGGCACTGCTCGGCAATGCACATCCACTACTCATTGCAGCCAAGAACTGTTTAAGAGCAGGGCATATCCTGGGTGGGTGTATAGTGTGCACTGCGCCCACGTGCCAAAAGTAGGGAGTGATGACAGGAACAGGCCAATGGCAAAACTACAGAGGTCGCAAGTGAAACCAGGACTCTGTGTTCCGCCTCACACAGGTGGTGTAGGAGGTGGCGGACTGACAACCTCAGGGCACCCTAGAGGCGGGCACTTACTGTATGCCCTACTCTGTCAAAATTTACTTTGGAGAGAGGAGACAGGTGGCGATGAGAGAGCACCAATGTTCTTCCAGTTCCTCACTGCTCTCTTGCACCATGCGGCAATGTAAGGTTTCGGAATATGACATCACTCTGGCCCCAGCATTACTAAACAGCACGTGATGGAGCAGTGAGGAATGAAAATTACAGGATCCACTGGACCTCAGGGAAAAGATCCCCACTGGACCCCAGGGAGAAGTTCCACACCAGCTCTTCCAAATGTAGGGAGGATGGATGGGCCTAAAAAAAACTAGATAATACCACAATGATTTTGTGAGTGTGTGTGCAAGAATGTGTAAATGTGTGAGTGTGTCTGTCAATTTGTCAGTGGCTGTCAGTGTGTTTCAAATCAATGAGAGTGTGTGCCTGTCATTCAGAATATATGCTAGTGTGTCTGTCAGTGAGTGTTGGTTTGTGTCTGTCAATGAGTGTGCTTCAAATCAGTGAAACGTGTATTGGTCATTGAGAGTGTCTGTCAGTGAGTGTGTCTGTCAGTGAGTGTTGGTTTGTGTCTGTCAATAAGTGTGCTTCAAATCAGTGAAACGTGTATTGGTCATTGAGAGTGTGTGTCAGTGTGTCTGTCAGTGAGTGTGTTTCAAATCAGTGAGAGTGTATTTTTGTTTTTGAGAGTACGTGTCAGTGTGTCTGTCAGTGAGTGTGTGTATGTCTGTCAGTGAGTGAGTGTGTCTCTCTGTCTGTCAATGAGTGTGTTTCAAATCAGTGAAATTGTGTATCGTTCATGAGAGTGTATGTCTGTATCTGTGTATATGGTTTTTCCCATAGAAACATGCATGTCTGAACTGGACATTTGCAAAGGGGAGGGGTTTGTAAGATAACTACGCCTACATGGTGACACAAAAAAAATAATTCTACACCCAGGTGTCTAGGATCTGACAAGGCTCAATGTTTTCACTTGCCACTATTCGTTGGGGAGTAAAAATGTAGCTGTGGTGCTTGGGAATTCACCACTGGTGAGTATGGACTCGCCATACTTGCAATGGCAAGAAACTAGAAGGCCTATGATTTAAAATGGTAAGCACTGTTTCTGGTTCTACCAATCCCCAAGTGTAACTACAGTTAAAACTGATAGCCATATAAATATGCAGCATGGAATGGAAGAAGAGTGATGCCAGTTCTTTATATCCCTTCCCACTGGTTTAGTTTAAACTATTGTTCTTGGGTAGAACATTGGCTTAAGGATAGAGTACAACGAGTTGTAATTAATGGTAAATTTTCAGGCTGGACAAAAGTGGTAAGTGGTGTCCCTCAGGGTTCTGTTTTGGGACCACTTCTATTTAACATATTTATAAATCGCTGGTAAGACCACACCTTGAATATGCTGTGCAATTTTGGGCGCCTGTTCTAAAGAAGGATATCATGGCACTGGAGAGGGTCCAGAGACGAGCTACAAAATTGATAAAAGGAATGGAGCATTTTAGTTATGAAGAAAGGTTAAAAAAATTAAATCTGTTTAGTTTGAAAAAACGGCGCCTGAGAGGTGATATGATAACTTTATACAAATATATTCGGGGCCAGTACAAATCTTTATCTGGAAATCTATTCATAAACAGGGCTATACATAGGACACGAGGTCACACATTTAGGCTGGAAGAAAGGAGATTTCATCTAAGGCAAAGAAAAGGTTTTTACAGTAAGAACAATAAGGATATGGAATTCTCTGCCTGAAGAGGTGGTTTTGTCAGAGTCCATACAGATGTTTAAACTGAAATTGGATAAATACTTACAAAAACATAACATACAGGGATATAATTTCTAATTAGTGGGGTAATAGCTGCTTGATCCAAGGAGACATTTGACTGCTATTTTGGGGTCAAGAAGGAATTTTTTCCTAGTTTGTGGCAAAATTGGAAGCGCTTCAGACCAGGTTTTTTGCCTTCTTTTGGATCAACAGCAACAACATTTGTGAGGAAAGCTGAACTTGATGGACGCAAGTCTCTTTTCAGCTATGTAACTATGTAACTATGTAACTATTCTTGATATAGCTGATCTCTTCTTGCCCAGCTCCTCGCTTTGGATACTTGAAGGGTTATTTACTAAAGTTAGAAGTCAAAGTGGATTTCAAAATTAAGTTACACTTCCAGTTCAGCTGCTTTGGATTAAAATTTTAAATTCACTTTGAATTCACTTAAAATTGTTCATCAAGACATTTTTAACATGCATTGTAACAGGTATAGATCTAGTAGTATGATTTGGGAAACAGGTCACAAGTCACGAAAAGCTCTTTTGGAGGTTTATACCTTCATAGGTGTGCGCAGCCTATTGCACAAACGCACGCCGCATGTATATATATATATATATATATATATATATATACATACACACACATACATATACTGCTGTTTGTGTGTGTGTGTGTGTGTGTGCTGTTAGTGCGCTGTGTGAGGGTGCTGTGTGTGTAAGGGTGCTGTGTGTGTGTGTGTGAGGGTGCTGTTAGTGTGATGTGTGTGTGAGGGTGTTGGTAGAGTGCTGTGAGGGTGCTGGTAGTGTGCTGTGTATGAGGGTGCTGCTTGTGTGCTGTGTGTGAGGGTGCTGGTAGTGTGATGTGTGTGAGGATGTTTGTGTATGTGTGTTAGGGTCCTGTTAGTGTGCTGTGTGTGTGCTGTTTGTGTGATGTGTGAGTGAGGGTGCTGTTTGTGTCGTGTATTTGTGAGGGTGCTGTTAGTGTGCTGTGTGTGAGTGTGCTGTTTGTGTGAGGGTGCTGTGTGTGTTTATGAGGGTGCTGTTAGTGTGCTGTGTGTGAGGGTGTTGTGTGTTTGTGAGGGTGCTGTTAGTGTGCTGTGTGTGTGTGGAGATGCTCTGTGTGTGTGGGTGCTGTTTGTGTGCTGTGTGTGTGAAGGTGCTGTTTGTGTGCTGTGTATGTGTTAGGCAGGGCCGGTGGAAGGATTTTTGCCACCCTAGGCAAAAAAAAATTTGCCGCCCCCCCATATATCCTGCCCACCATGTGACATCACAATGCCCCGCCCATATGCTCTGCCATATGGGCCAACGCCAGTCTTCACAAAGTGTCTTTTATCGGAAAAGACAGTGTGTTTACATTAAAAAGCCTACAGGCACAGGCTATAGACAGGGCCGTCTTTAATAACGAGTGGACCCTGGGCAAGTGTTTGCTTGGGCCCCCTGTGCCCTGCCGCTCTCGCCCCTCACTCCCTGCTATGCAATCACGGCATCCATCCCAACGCAGTGGCGGTACTAAAGTAGAATGAATTTTATTGGGACCCCCAATTGCAAGGTTGGACTAAAGGTAGAACCCCATCTGTCGTGCAACTCCAACAATGCTTTGACAGCTGGGACTCTACCAATTTCCCATGCTTGCAGGGTTGTATTTAGCACTGAGCCATGTTAGTATGTTTGAATGTAAACATGTGTTTGTATGGAGTATGTTTGTGTGAATGTGTTTGTATGTGCAAGTGTGCATTTATGTGTAGTGTTTGTTTTTGAATGTAGGAGTGTGCTTGTATGTAGTGTTGACGTTTCAATGCAGGAGTGTGTTTTATATGTAGTGTTGAAGTTTGAATGGAGGGGTGTATTTGTATTTAAAGTTGCGGCTCAGATGCACAGGTACACACTCTGACGCACAAGCAGATACACAGATACATACACTGACTACATACAGATAAACAGGCACATACACTGACAGACACACTGACACAGGTACATATATTGACACACACACAGACACATACACTGGTAGACGTACTGACAGACATACTGACACAGGCACATATACAGACATACTGACACACAGACACATATACCCACATACTGACACACACACACACAGACACATACACTGATCAACATACTGACACACATACACTGACAGAAATACTGACACCCACACACTGACAGATATACTGACACCCACATACACTGAGAAATACTGACACACACACACAGGCACATACACTGACACTCACAGACTGATATACTGACACACACACACACACACACAGACATACTGGCACACAGACAGATATACTGACACATGCATACACATGCACTAACAGACATACTGACGCACTGA